CCTATGTATTCCTATGTAAAACTTTGATCACCCATTGTGGCCCCACCCGACCCACAGGGGTCATGTTTGAACAAACTTGAATGTACACTATCTAAGAATGCTTCCATATAAATATGACCAATCATGGCTTTGCTATTCTTAACAAATAGTTTTTTTTAAAGATTTTTACTATGTGTTCCAATGTAAAACTTTGATGGCCCATTGTGGCCCCACCCGACCCCTGGGGGTCATGATTCGAACACATTTGTATGTACACTATCTGAGGATGCTACCATATAAATATGACCAATCATGGCTTTGCTATTCTTAACAAATTGTTTTTTTTTTTTTTTTTAGAATTTTTACTATGTGTTCCTATGTAAAACTTTGATCGCCCATTGTGGCCCCACCCGACCCCCGGGGGTCATGATTTGAACAAATTTGAATGTACACTATCTGAGGATGCTACCATATAAATATGAGCAATCATGGCTTTGCTGTTCTTGAGAAGAAGATTTTTACTATGTGTTCCTATGTAAAACTTTGATCGCCCATTGTGGCCCCACCCGACCCCCGGGGGTCATGAGTTGAATAAATTTGAATGTACACTACCTGAGGATGCTTCCATGTAAATATGAGCAATCATGGCTTTGCTGTTCTTGAGAAGAAGATTTTTAAAGATTTTTCCTATATATTCCTATGTAAAACTTTGATCGCCCATTGTTGTCCCACCCGACCCCCGGGGGTCATGAGTTGAACAAACTTGAATCTACACTACCTGAGGATGCTACCATATAAATATGACCAATGATGGCTTTGTTGTTCTTGAGAAGAAGATTTTTAAAGATTTTTCCTATATATTCCTATGCAAAACTTTGATCGCCCATTGTGGCCCCACCCGACCCCCAGGGGTCATGATTTGAACAAATTTGAATCTACACTACCTGAGGATGCTTCCAAGTAAATATGACCAATCATGGCTTTGCTGTTCTTGAGAAGAAGATTTTTAAAGATTTTTCCTATATATTCCTATCCAAAACTTTGATCGCCCATTGTGGCCCCACCCTACCACCGGGGGTCATGATTTGAACAAACTTGAATCTACACTACCTGAGGATGCTTCCAAGTAAATATGACCAATCATGGCTTTGCTGTTCTTGAGAAGAAGATTTTTGAAGATTTTTCCTATATATTCCTATGTAAAAATTTGATCGCCCATTGTGGCCCCACCCGACCCCCGGGGGTCATGATTTGAACAAACTTGAATGTACACTATCTGAGGATGCTACCATATAAATATGACCAAGTATGGCTTTGCTGTTCTTGAGAAGAAGATTTTTAAAGATTTTTCCTGTATATTTCCTATGTAAAACTTTGATCGCCCATTGTGGCCCCACCCGACCCCCGGGGGTCATGATTTGAACAAACTTGAATCTACACTACCTGAGGATGCTTCCACATAAGTTTCATGTTTTCAAGCACAGTGGTTCTTGAGAAGAAGATTTTTTAATGATGCCATTAATTTTTCACGAATTCTTAATTATCTCCCCTTGGAAGAGGGCGCGGCCCTTCATTTGAACAAACTTGAATCCCCTTTACCCAAGGATACTTTGTGGCAAGTTTGGTTGAAATTGGCCCAGTGGTTCTTGAGAAGAAGTCGAAAATGTGAAAAGTTTACAGACGGACAGACGGACGGACAGACGGACAGACGGACTACAGACAAAATGTGATCAGAAAAGCTCACTTGAGCCTTCGGCTCAGGTGAGCTAAAAATTAAATTTGAAATTAGAAACAAAATTAGATTTAATATGATTTACAATGTATAGTTAGTTGTTTTTTATGATTAAATGAAATTATGACATTTGGGCAAGCCGAAGTGTGAGGAAAAAATTATGAAAACATCCCAAATCGCAGTTGTCTTTCTTCTACTCCATTAAAGGAATCGCACAAATGACGTCATAGACCATGGCTTGCAATTCTCTCTTGAAATATGTATATTTCGAGATTCAGTTTCAGACTTTAAGTGTGCATTCAATCGCCACTAATTCATCATTTTCATTGTATTTCTAAATTACAACTCATCAAAAGAAATTGATTCATAGCATTTTTTTTTAAATTCAAACTCTTATTTTTATGATAAAAACTCTTCAAAATCTAGAACTCATATGGGACTCTAGGTAAAAATTATGATGATTATGATAATATAATAATAATAACAAAAACAAGAGGCATACATGAAATGTCAAAACATTATTTTCTGTTACAAATTGTCTACCTTACACAGTGACACATTGTGCTGAGATAAGTAAGGCGTACATGTCAGTTTATTTCATAAAAAGGATTTTTGAAAAAAATATATACAATTTTGCAAACCATTTAAGGATTAGTAGTATAAATATCATCACAATTATTAATATCATTTGATATGGCTACAATCTGATTGCTGTATACGTACCCATTTTTGCTTGCAATGTTGCGTTTATATATCAGCGACAATGTCAAAAGGCTATTTATAATTTCCATTTGTACGTGTCACATTAACCTAGATAGCAGACGCTCTAGATGTTGATGTAGGCAATTGCAATGCCTTAAATTACATATAGGTGTTTGCTAACTAAACAATGCAGTTTACTGCTTCCTATGTTATCAGCTTTTAAATGAAAGTATAGACAGGTGGGATCATCTTCATAATAGCATCTGAATAGTGGGAGATGGGTAAAAAATGAATTTCTCAGTAAATATTTATCTTTTATTTAAGTCAGCATTTTATATTTAAAACTTATCAGGTGTTCCTCTCTACAGATCCTGCTTTTAACTATAACGTCTCAAGCAATTGCTGGCAAAATGTTTAATGTAATAAAGTGAACACGTTTATTCTTGTTAATCATTTAAGGACTCTATACACTAAAGTAAAAATTTTTTTTTTTTGGATAAATTATGTTGTAAATACTGAACTTATCTGTCTCATTTTCAACATATTACCCCCAAGAAAAATGTTCAAAGACAACGAAGAAACTCTGTTGTCGACTTAATTGAGGAAAACACATGCAAAGAAAGTGTTTCATGAATTTTTCATGGCATATTCAAATGTTAAGAATGCTTAAATAATTACAAATTGAGTGATACACTGTAGATTTTAATTTATTTTTAATTATTTGAGATCTAAGGACAGATTACTCTAAATGCATTAAAATACCGTGCAAAATCAGAACTTTTCAGTGTGCAGAGTGTAAACAAGGTTCTAATCTTTAAGTCCAAAATTCACCGACCTTTTCAAAGAATACCTACATACAGAAAAAAAAAACACAGATAGACTGACATGCAAGTGTTTATATGTAGAAAAATATATTCACAAATAATCAAGTCTGGGTTTTGTTATAAGTAACATAACCAAGTGCCTTTGGTTTCTTTTTCTTAATATGAGGATTACATTTCCGCTAAATGAATTCTTAAAACTGGAAACTAATAGTATACGTTACCCCCAACTGACCCCAATAGTGCAATGTTAGAGTTGAAAGCAGATTAGAAAGTATTATTTAAAAAATTTGCAAGGTTTCAGTTTAAAAATAAAACTACCGTTCAAATTGTTTCCATGCCATGGGCAGACACTTTGAATTTTTTTAAATATTGCATGTTAAACTACACTTGGCGAATATCGCTGCTATGAAGTTTCATTAAGTCTGGCCAAGCTCTCTGCGAGAACTGTGGACAATAACAAAATGTTCGGGTGACATATTAGCTGCCATGAATTAGGCATTTCAAAAAATTCTATATCGCCCCAGGAAAAAATACCTCAATGCACGTATATTAGTCAGAATGTATAGCTCAAATTGCAAGAAACAGCATCTTCAATTCACTAAAATCCATGTAACAATGGAAAGGAAACTATAACAACTTGCGTTACATATATGTAGGAAAATTTTGTTTCAAAAAGAAAAACAACCAAAGAATGAAATTCCTCCTATTGTTTAGCAATCTCCAGCCTTTTCTTTAATTAATCTAAGAAGTAAAGAAATATGATAAGAACTCGCCCTTAGGAACTTAATAGTAATAGGAATGCGAATTTTATTTTTCAATATGAATTTTATGGCATATGAACTTTTTGTTCAGACACAAGGTCAAAATTTTTATTTTTCTTGTCATCCATAAGTACTTGAAATTTATGGAAAAAAAATAAGTAAAGGTGTTTTTACAAGTAATTGATACATACATTCAAAAATATCTACTGTCTTAAACAGTATAAAAATAAAAACTTTTGAATACAATAGTAAGGAATTCTGGCTATAAGAACTTGGTTTTCTTGCTCTGGGCAATTTATATAGTTTCGCTGTATCATTTGAATGGATAAACATAGGTAATCAAAGATTACAGAGCTTACCCCAACAAAATTATATCTTTAAGTAAGGTAGAGTCCCAAACTAATATTTTAGTAGTGTGCATTCCTAGATGTAACATTATTGCAATTTTGGTCCAATAAGGCTTCCAGTTATTTGGGAATGGACCTACCTAAAAACTTAAAACTAGTCATTCATCCAGAAAATGTAAGTCATAGTCATGTCCAGCATCTGAAGCAAGTTTGAGAGTGTTCATCCCATGATGCATCATCCATGCAAGTTTGGTTCAGATAGCCCTGTAGTTTACTTTAAATGGGTCACTCATCTGGAAAATGTTGGTCAGATCCAGCATCCAAAGAAAGCCTAGTAGTATGCATCTTTAGATGTATCATCCATGCAAGTTTGGTCAATATAGGGCTTATTGTTACTTTGAAATGAGATCTGCTCCAAAAACTTTAACCTGGTCACTCATCCAGAAAATGTAAGTGAGATCCAGCACCCGAAGCAAGTTCAGTAGTGTGCATCCTTAGATGTATCTTCCATGCAAGTTTGGTCAATATAGGGCTTATTGTTACTTTGAAATGAGATCTGCTCCAAAAACTTTAACCTGCTCCAAAAACAATAACCTTGTCATTCTTCAGCTGATATTGCAGCATCTGAAACCTTGACTGGTACAAAGAAACATACTAGAGGCATCCTCCATGTATCTCTGATTAATATAAGACACAAGTACTTGAAAAGAAATCTGTTCCAAAAACTTAAACCTGGGACATTGACGCCGACGGTATTACATAAGCTCCCCCAACTTCGTTGAGGTGAGCTAAAAAATTCCTAAAAAAAATTATTTAATTTTTCTCATTATTTTCTCAGTTCCATTCAAATGTCCATAGAAATTTATCAATGATTCGCCCTGTTCAAATGACATTTCACCAAAAGGCGAGGAAACAAAAAAAAAACAAACCCTTTCAAGGAAAGGACAAACTAAAATTGATACATAATCACCAGAGGATTGACTTCCGTTTAAATATATTTGCAATTGAACAATGGATAAATATGTAGATTAAATTTCATATCTATATACTGAATCTGTCTTATTCTGTTGTAGGTATTGGTCAAACTCTTCGTTCAGGGCAACAGTAAAATGATTTTTCCAGTCTCCCACTTTCCCTGAAAAAAATATAACTAACACCAAGATTATTGATGAGAATGAAAGAATATAGGGAAACAATTTGCACTAAAGTGCATCTAAAACGTTTTATTATAATCAACACAAAGAATCATTTTAATCATGCACAGATGTGTGTGGGTGTGGGTGTGGGTGTGTGTGTGTGTGTGTGTGTGAAATCATATCCTGTTCACCTTTTCTATACATTGACACACTGCCAGACGTTTCTTTCAAATTGGTGGACGCGGCCTTTAAGTTTTGAAAAGAACATTTTTCAGCGATCTGTTTGGCAAGTTGATCGTCACATGGTTTATCCAAGAAGGCAACCAAACGCTTTATTTCACTGACTGGATCCTATTATGCATAAAAAACATACATTTCTTGTTCAAACTACTAACGACACAAAGAAAAACTGTACAGGCGCATGACAAAATTCATTACTTTTAAATACATGTACATGCACTTTTTAACTCGTGTACAGTTTTTGAGATTTCTCAGCCAAATCTTTTCATGCTGTTTTAAATCCACAGATTTAAGACTCTTTTACTTTATTTACTTAAAGAAATAAAATTTTTCTGATGAAATGTAAAATACTTATGAACTTTCTCAAAAATGAAAATAAATATATGATTTAAATTATACTAGTAATAGCAAGCTTTGTAAACAATACAAAATCAACATATTTTCCACGTAGTTTTCAATTTTTATAGAAATGTATGATCAGTCTTAAGTTATAAACAGGTATTGGTAAAATTCACTGTTTATATTCTTTTTTAAAAACCCGTTTCCATAATTTTCAATTAATCAAGGTAATTCATCTTCGATTCTACTATTTCCAATTAATTTTTTTAAATATTTCTTGTAATCAAATAACACATTTGATAAGGAACTGCTGCAAGGTACCTGTTGTAAATCTTCATACATGATACAATGTACAGGGTGGTCCGGGTGTTCTTTAAAGTACTTTTCCCATTCTAATGTATACAGAGGCCAGGCAGAATGATACACTACACATAAAATGCCTAGTTAGTTATCTTCATATGTTGCAGAAAGAGTAGTGTCGGTGTACCAGTTGTTCAGAGTAGTTATATAAATAAATACTGTATAATAGGAAGATCTTTAACTACAAATACTTTTAGAAATGATGGTATTTCAAAGTATAAAATTCAGATTTTCAAACGTTATGATCCGATATTGATTACATAGATAATTAGTCTTACACGGTATACTTTACCTAACCCGTGTTTTTCCAAGAAAAAGTCCATAAACTGTAAGAAGGTACCACGAAAATTTATCTTATCCCTACAGTGATAATAAAACGAAACAGCTACGTCTTTGGGATTTCGTTGAACAAAAACTGTCTTACAGCGCTTTTGAAAAAATTGTTGAGGTAAATTATTTGGCCTTAAATGAGTATTAAACACACGTGGTGACGTCATTGACTCCAGCACTTCCGGTGTGTTGAATTCTAACATGTGGGTATTCTTCTCCCGTGGAATATATTCAGCACTCTGCTGAAGAATCATATTTATGATTTCCCACGTCCAATGTGTTCCTTGAAAGGACAACAAAACATTTTATCACAAATTAAAAAACATCGAAGTTACCCTAAGTCATCTTTTTATCCCCCTTACTTTCGTCTGAGCTACACTTTATAAATTCACTAATGATTTTAACCCATTTGCCCCCCGTTCATTCAGAAAATTGAAAGTGCTCAGCATTATACATCTAGTATTGCAGCGGTATTTTTTTTCAAGCCCTAGATTTTTTTTTTATTAAGTAACAATGCTAAATATATTTGATTAGGTCATCTTTAAAATATATGTGTTGCTTACCCTCTCCCGACTCAGGATTAAAAAATTGGGTAGGTAAGTAGGGGGATTTTTTCAAATTCAAAAACACTTGTGAATGTGGAGTTAAAATAGTTATGAATGGGATGAGAAAATTTCGGAATGAATAAAAAAAAGTGTTTCCAGGAGGTTAAAAAAAAGTTTTAAGTCGGGCCGGTTTTGGTCAGTCGGTCGGGAGAGGGCAAACGATTAAACAATTTTTTAAAGATGCCCTCACACTCTATCATGAAGAAAAAGTACAATTGTAGCTATACCAACCTGCTTTTTGATAAGCACACAGAAAGAAGTCGTCTGATTTAATATTCATCTCTTTCAACCTTGGGAAATTGGTCTTTGGGTTGGGATACTTTCCCATGATGACCCCTCTAGCACTGATGCACTGTCCTCCATGTTCCAAAAACTCCATAACATTTCCATGACTGTCGCTGACTTTAATGATATCTTCATCCGAAACTGTGGTATCATATTCTAAAAATATTCAGGTGCGAAGAATATTGTTACAGAAACTTAATCTCCCGATATCTTTCTGAGAATAGTCTTTTGTTGTGCTGTTCTGCTTCGGTAATTGACATTGATAGGCCGGTTGGTCCCCCACTGTTGCAGTATGGTCGAACACTCCCACATAAATTCATCCATTTTTTTTCTAAAAGAAAGAATTGGAAACCCCCTCTACCAAGTTGGCGGGTTTTTAAAGTATAGGAAATTTTTCTTTTATTAACTAAAAAATTTTTTTTTGTTTGTCTCAGTTTTTTTTTTACTTGTCAGTTATCAAATTTAACTTGGACCCCCTATCCCAGTTTGAATGAGCGATGGTAAGTGTCCGTGTTGTACAGATTCCTTATAAAAATATCCGATTTAATTAACGGGTATTTCTGTATATGGAAACAATGTCCAGCCTATATTTATACAACTGGTAAATCAGGACACACACACTCTCCTTGTTACATTTTTATTCATAGCGAACATATTCAAAGAAAAGTCAGCAGACCATCGAAGTGAAGATCAGAATAGGTAAATGTTGTAGCAAAATATTCTGTTTTTCTTTATAGTCTATTCTTTCTCTAGATTGATAGCAACCTATTATTGGGAACACTTTGCATTTACTGTATGGTATAAGAATTATTAAATACTGTAAATTATATGTAGTATATTTAGCGTGTACCATATATGGCATGCAGAAATTGATTTTTCGACATGTCTGGGAAGATTTGATTTAGCGTATTTATGATGTGCCACATAAAGATATACATGTAGATAGATACATACAATAAATTTAGCTATGTACTTGATTTAGCTTAAGCTTTTTTTTTTTTTTTTTTTTTTTTTTTTTTTTTACCGCGAAAGGCGCTAAATAGGCAAACGTAATACGTTTACAGTATATAAATCGACAGCCCTTCAGATCTTAATGAGGAACAAAATACCGTCCTTGTTCATTGCAAGTAAACGTTTTGAAAAAAATTCTAATGCACCTGTGGAAAAGAAACAAAATTATATTTTATAATTTTTGGGGAGTGGTAATGGAATGGTGAGTGAAATCTTGCTGTGACCTTCAACTCGACATTTAGGTATATCAATGACGTATTATCAATTAACAGTAGTTTCTTCCATTCATGTTATATGGGTAAAGAATATAAAATAATGATAGGCAGGGGAAAATACGGAATACGATGAAAACTACAAATGTTTACAAACACGATTAACTAAATACTGACGTTCATGTGTATTTCAAACATTAGGTAACTAAAAATAAGTACGTTTACAAATCTGTTATCTTTAATAAACTAAATCAAGGTATTTAGACATGTAAATGTACCAGATAAATTTTCAATACGATGCAATTAGGTAAGTTCATCGTTGCAAGTGACTTTCATTTAACACTGAAAAATAAAAGTCACTTGCATCATCTCAAGAATTTTGAGCACTTAATGTACCATCCATCCAAGATTAGGTCTAGCTAGGGTTACAGCTACACGTACATGGTAACGATGGATCTGCTCCAAAAGGCTTATAATTACAACGCCGGGGTATATCATTAGATATATATATCTAGATATCCTACTTGAGGGGAACAAAAGATGACACAACTGTGCTGTCATAAAAATAACAAACTAAGAGAGGTCAATAAAACAAGCATTCTGAGAGTACCGCATTAGCAATACTAGTCCCCTACCGGCAAGTGTAATCTGGTTCCCGTTAAAAATTGAAAATGCCATAATTCAGTCAAAAATCATTGAAGCGGGGCGAAATGCAAACTTAATCTATAACTCATCAAGGTTAAGTCACATGCCAAAAATCAGCTCAATATCTGCAAGCGTTTAAGATAAAAGTGCGGAAAACCAAGTGGGACAGACTGACAGACAGACAGAGGGACAGACGGACAGACAGACAGACAGAGGGACAGACAGACTCCGAGGAAACCTATAGTCCCCTCCGGTATCACCGGTAGGGGACTAATAAATATTCAATTTACACACTTTTTCAACGAAAGCATTTAAAGATTAGCCTGTGAAATGATTTGTATACTTACGCATTGTAACTACCGGTACACTGTTCTCATCGAACAAAATCGTTGATAAATCAGAAATAACTAACCAAAGATTAATTGCGCAGTTCAGGTAAAATGTACAAATCGGTAACAGTTTACGGAAGGCTAGGTATGAATATATATAGTCCCTAAAAAGGCATTACATGAAGGTAAACAAGTTTTTCATTCTCTTTATCAAACATATTAGAAAGCAAACAATATAAAAATATGCATTTTTTCCCCGACGGTACAATTGTACAACACATGCTTATTTACATACATATAGAATAAACCAAATAAATTTATCATTTACAATTCTATATATCCAATTCTACATACTATGATATATGAGTATTTGTATGTGTATCCAATTCTACATACTATATGTGCATTTGACATATAGTAATAGAGTATGCAAACATATACATCTATCATGTGAAAAAATGCCATATTATTTTTGATTTCTTATTTTGTGTTTCAAAATTTCATTAATAAAGTTTGTGATTCATATATCATTTTTAACTTTTAAATGGTATATCAGTTAATGGTTTACACTTTGAAAATTTTTTCCGACTTAATTGTCATACACATTCTTAAAATCAATGTTTTTTTTCTTCAACAAACTACTTTTTTTTCTGTTGCACTCCTGACATGACATAACATTTTTTTCAACATCAGCCATGACTATAACTTGGTCAAACAAAATTTACTAGTCTACATTTAAAGCTCAATACATTGAATATTATCAGGAAAGTCTTTATTTCCAACATAAATCATTATTATTTATTTCATAGATCTTCAAAAATTATTACATTTTCAAAATGTCAGAAAAAGTGTTGCACTCCTGACATTTTTAGCATCATTTTTGAGCAAAACTTTTTTGTGACTTGAGATATCAATAAGATATTTGGCAAGTTTTTAGACAACATCAAAAGACATATGCTGATTCCTAGAAATTTATTCACATCGCTTGTATTTTAGTGCAGGTTGATAGATATGTGTCCAGTTATTTTTTTTTTAATTCATCCATAACTGTAACTTTAATTTTTGTTACTATTGTGAAAATTTGTACTTATATATGGAATTAAATATGGAGATAACGAACAGTAAGCAAGCTCAAAATTCCATTGAAACAATATAAATCGGGAACAGAGCAATCACGGACCTCTAAAAGCATCAGAGGTGAGATCAAGTGTCATGGAGGGGTAAGCATTGTAATGTTGTGAGAGAGAGGTCGAGGAATACATCTGTTTAGTTTACTAACTATTTATTAAGTGACCATCAGATTGAACATATTCCCATGCATATAATTATGACTGACAACAGATGATCCTAGGGAGAGGAACTTTACCGTGAGATCTGATAATGTCAGAGAGCGGTGCTAGATTAAACATAAACATTCTGATGTTGGCTTGGTAATTGTTAATTATAGATTGACAGATTTAATTTAGAAGTATAAACATTACATCTCTCCCTTTCTTTAATTGAAAGCATGTACATCGAAATAATTATCATTAACGCTTACACTTATCAAAGTTCATGTGGGTTTCATTTTGAGAATTGTCAGTAATTTTGGAAATGTCTGTCCAACTCTGGTGTCTCTTTCCTCGAACTTTCTACGGCAGCATGTAAATGCACAATTACTAATATTATGTACAAAATCAGAATCTAATTATGTTTTGAGGATTATTATGTCCCATTACAAACGTCTCACTAGGTACACACATAATCTTTTAGATACTCTGGTGATTTAGAAGTATAAACATTACAAGCATCCACTGTGCTTCTTGTCATGATCGGGCAAACGGAAAAATCCGTAGACAATTCAGTGTGTAAATAATGACCTAACAATTAGTATGAAAAACGTCAGTCATCATTCGACATAATGATAGATTGCATTTGCTCACTAGGTATTTGTATCGACCACAGAACTTGTGAAAAGTTGATTTCAAACGAGACTGTTGATATCCTTGATTCATCAACTTGTTTGTCAATAGCTTGCCTCGTTTTAGAAATTGTTCGTACGTCGATAATCGAATCAATTGGGAGACATTAACTCCATATGCAGGTGATAAGGGTATATTGTTACATAAATATGGTAAGTTGACGATAGAAAAGTTGAAGTCATCAGGTTTATCATAAAGTTTTGTTGTTAAATTACCATTAACGTCTTTTTCTAGTAACATATCCAAATATGAAACAGATGTGTCAGACTCTGTTGTATCTTTTATTTCAAGTTCATTGGGATGTATCGAGTCGGCATTTGAATGGAAGTTGCTAATTTATAATACAATATACGCCGTCGATACATCTAAATGTCGAGTTGAAGGCTACAGCAAGTGAATCAGTCCTATGGTGTTGTAAATTAGGTCAAACGTGTTGTTTGATACAACAATAAATTGAATCTTGAAATCTTCATACTGTAACCCACTGGTCTGCATTGGGATGGATTCCGAGAGTTATTGTTCCACAGATTGAAAAAATTGTATATTAATTGAACATAAGATATTGTGCAAGGTTTAATTGCCACATTTTATGCTACCATTTCAAAATATTAATGACTATGTATTTATAATTATTTTACCAATTCTGTAACTTTTTACAGCGTTCCAGGGATTGCATGAAATTCCGACCCTAGAAATTGTTTGTCAGTTTATATTACATGAAACTTAAGGTGTCTGGTCGTCCAATTCATTTCTTAAACTAGTGAGCTACAAACCTGTTGTTACTTCTTTACTTGAGAAGGGAAGAAATTTTCAATCAGATAAGAAATTTTTCCTATGAAAACGCTAATAATTTTGAAAAACTGAATTCGATCTGCATCTCTTCTGCGGTTTCATATATACTTTTCTGTACAATGGCACGTCCTTTGAATTTTCTTTTAAACTAGGTACTGCTTTCTTCAGATTTTAATAAGATTTTTTGAGCAATCAGATCGACAAGATCGTTGACATAGGATTTATCAATAAAACATTCCGTTGAATGTAAAGGAAAATATTCCACTAATGGTGTTCTATTAAAGGTGTTAAAAGGCGGTCGACTTGTTGAATGCAAAAATGTAAATATTATTCGTTATTTTAGAAACAAGTTAGTGGTATAGAACCTTTTAATGTAATAAATTCATTTAAGAATTCTGTTGCTGAGAAACTGCAGGTGTGTGCAGACTTGAAGTACGAGGAGTGGCCAGCCTCTAACACCCTTTCTTCAAGAAAAATCTTTTGCTGTAGATTTAAAAAATGAAAAAAAAATTGAAGTGTTCAAACCCGAAAATCCTATTTCGTGGAGGGGGGGGGGGGTCGAACTTCTTTCAGTACCAATTCTTTGAAAAAAAAATTCCGACGCCTATGTAGCCTATGTATGATAGAAGTGATCCCCATACTATTGCATTTTTACAAAATACCGAAAAGTTAGCGGAGGATCCTAACCCCCTCCCATAATATATTTTATACTGATTTCTTTTTACATGTACATTGTTTCATAGATACTTTTTTTGTATGTCGAGGTCATACTATGAAAATAAGAAATAATAATAATCATAATGATAAATTTACAAATTTTAAAATGAACACGTTTCCATTTGTAAACACGTAAGATCAAGTAAGAATCCATAAAACTCAACCCATAAAATCAACGTAATAAAAGATACTTCTTCACAAGGGCATGCCTTCATATACATTCTTGAAAATATAACACTTTCAGTTGAACAAATTTTCTGTATTTATTTGTAAGAAATATCAGTTATAAAGAACTAAATTCGGTTATCCAAAGGAATCGTTTCATTTCTATTCTATTCTGGGGCAAATAAAAATCCAGAAAATCTTATAAAATTTATCATTTCCTTAGATCAATCCAAATGTCTCTTTGTTTCAAAATAAAATGTTCTGTCCATCTGTTCAAATCACCTGTCACCAAAAGGCGAGGGAACAGAAAAAGTGCACATCAAAGCGAACTTATCATGGACGGACTTAAAAATGTCAAAAAGCTTCACATGATTAACATACATTCATGCGTAGTCGGAATCCAAGAGTGGATAAGTAAATATTTTAAATTTCGTATTTATATACTGAATCTGTCTTATGCTGTTGTAGGTATTGGTCAAACTCTTCGTTCAAGGCAACAGTAAAATGATTTTTCCAGTCTCCCACTTTCCCTGAAAAGGAAATAAAACTGCCATCAACACCAACATTTTCATAATAACGAAGGGATACAGGAAACTATTCACACTAGAAGTGCATCTGAAATATTTTACATTTCATTTGTAGAAATTATTTTAGGTATCTATACCCTACATTCAAAAATATATATGTATGTTTATGTATGTATGTATGTATGTATGTATGTACATGTATGTATGTATGTATGTATGTATGTATGTATGTATTGCACCTTTTCTATACAATGGATCACTACGGCCTCCTCCTTTGATACTGGCGGACGCAGTCTTTAAGTTTTGAAAAGAACATTTTTCAGAGATCTGATTGGCAAGTTGATCGTCACATGATTTATCCATGAAGGCACTCAAACCCTTTATTTCACTGACTGGATCCTATTATGCATAAAAACATACAATTCTTATCAAATCACTGACAAACACACTGGTCATACTGAACACTGATATTCATTACTGTTTGAAACTGTTTAACCTCTGGTTATCTTTCCCCTATTTCTTAGACAAATCTGTTATCACACAGTTCCCAGTCCCATTTATTTACTACATTAATTAATTAGGAATAAATGTCTAATTTTTTGGTTCACTGATGTGTTCAAGCAAATGGCTTGCATGATAATTTGCATAAACTTCGAAGGCAAATTATTGAGCCAATTGCTCGATCATCGTCATGAATCCAAAAAATCTGACAGTTATTCCTTATATTTACATGCTCTTGATTCCGTAAATTCACTTGCTACAAGACCCACCTCCTTCTGTCTCTCTCTGTCCCGCCCCGCACGTTTTTGAAAACTACGCCTATCGATGAACCAGTAGCTTTATGTAGAAATCGAGTACATTTCATATTTTTAGTTTTATCTCGGATGAAGAAATTTTAAAATGTAAATATCTATTCATAAGCGTAATTTGATTGACTTATCATAAACCTTCTCATATACTAAGGAAGCCGGTAGGTGCCAAAGAAAATATTTTATCTGGCGGCCGCCAGATCTTTTTAACTGGCGGTCACCAGAAAATTATTTGGCGGTCGCCAAATAATTATCTGGCGGCCGCTTGATCAGTTATCTGGCGGTCGCCAGTTATTTATGTGACGGCCGCCGGATAAAATATTTTTTTTCTACCTGGTACCTACAGGCTTCCGTAATTTTGTGATTTCCAGTTTGGTAATTATTTTATATCATAAAACCATTAAACACATATATTAATTACAATACGAGTTTGAAGGAAGTGTAAGGTACCTGTTGTAAAAATTAATCTTCATACATGATACAATGTACAGGGTGATCTGGATGTTCTTTAAAGTACTTTTCCCATTCTAATGTATACAGAGGCCAGGCAGAGTGATACACTAAACATAAAATGCTTAGTTAGTTATCTTCATATGTTGTAGATGGAGTAGAAAATGTTGTTTTTTTTTCAGTATAGTTATATACCGTTTAAGAGGTATTTTTAGCAATACGCAGCGATTTGTGTGTAGCTCTCATCAAATATTTTAGCGAGAAAAATCATAGCGATTTTATCATGCCAGAAAGATAGCTATTACCCCCAATTCAGCATTAACTGTTTGTGATATTCATTTTTAGCGATTTCAATATAATGTCAAAATTGAATCCTGCTAAAAAGTCTGCTTAATTATGGTATTTGAATGTATATATGATTATCTTTAATTCAAATTCTTTCAGAAATTATATTTCATGGTATGGAAATTTTTATCAACAAACTTTAATTGAAGATATTTTGACATTAGCTATTTATTGTTTCTACAGAATATTTTTACCTGGTCCGTTTTTTTCCATAAAGAAGTCCATAAACTGAATGAAGGTACCGCAAAATTTTATCATTTCTCTACAGTGATAATAAAACGAGACAGCTACGTCTTTGGGATTGCGTTGAACAAAAACTGTTTTGCAGCGTTTCTGAAAATATTGTTGAGGTATATTATTTGGCCGCAAGTGAGTATTAAACACGCAAGGTGACGTCACTGACTCCAGCACTTCCAGTGTGTTGAATTCCAACATGTGGGTCTCCTTCTCAAGTGGATGATATTCTGCACTTTGTTGAAGAATCATACTCATGATTTCCCACGTCCAATGTGTCCCTTGAAAGGATAACCAGAACTATAGCTAAATAATTTTAAAGCTGCTCAGTATAACTCATCTGTGTTAATAACATTGGATCAGAAATAATTTTCTCTCCACTTTTCTGTCATCAATTTAATTTTTTTCCCCTTATGCTGATCCAAGCTAGACTTTTTTGAAAATTTATAAATCCCACGCATTCCACACCTGTTCGTTGAAAAAACTAAAGTGTTCTATATTTCGCATATCGAGATGTAGAATTGCAATTATATAGTTCTTATTTTAAGCCCTCAGGTCTGAATGAAAATTATGATGTATTTAATCTCACTCAATTGTTACAATGAAGAAAAAATGAAATAGTGTTCCAACCTGCTTTTGCATAAGCACAAAGAAAGAAGTCGTCTGACCTGATATTCATCTCTTTTAACCTTGGGAAATTGGTCTTTGGGTTTGGGTACTTTCCCATGATGACCCCTCTAGCACTGAGGCACTGTCCTCCATGTTCCAAAAATTCCATAACATTTCCATAGTTGTCGCTGACTTTAATGATATCTTCTTTCGAGACTGCTGTATCATACCTTCTTTCTGGCATATTCTCTATTCATCAATAAAAAAATCTGCATTCCTAGTCTACAAGAGTAAGCGTGAGATTCAAAACAGTCATAATGCTATCTTTAATGATAAATAGAAAATGTGTCGAAAGACAATGTACTACAAATATTCAGGTGCGAAGTTTCATATTGATTTACTGATTCTTTAAAATATGCATTATCGAGATCAATTAATAAGTGTTTTTAAGGAAACAACTTCAGTCCCATATTTATATAGTAAGAAAACCATAATCAAACATTTATCATTATATATCGAAAATAGTAAATGAAAAGTCAATAAACTGAAAATGTAATTTATTACATGTAGCATCAAAATTATTTTTTTGTCTATCCTTTCCATAAAAATATTGCGAAAGATTGTAATTTTTCTTCGTTGATAACAGTTTGTATTTAGTTAATCGTGTCATAAGAATAATAGCGAATTAAATATATAAATACAAATCCGACAGAAGCTAAGGTGGGCAAAAACAATGTCCTTTCAAGGCCTTGAAAAAAATAAATCATCTTTTGAAATGTTACGCAATATCTTATCCTTTAGGGGTTGGTGTGGGTTGGTAGATGATATCTTTTTTACGAAGAATAATACATTGTGTTTATAAATTTCAGAAATCGCTAGAGTTACCTATTGATTTGACGTTAATAACGGAATATCTACGTACCAATAGCGCCCATATTATCAATATGAATCAAACAAATTTTCTTTCGAAAATTTATTATTTGATTAAAGTATTAATAAAGCATATGGTTAAAAAATTTTACATTTTGTAGTTTAAAAATTTATCAAAAACTTGAGGAGAGCACCCCCACCCATCCCCAGTACAATATTAAATTCTTCATATCACCAAACATTACAGAATTTCTTTATAAATAGCACAAAAAGTCCAGTGCGTGCATATTTGAAATCTATATACATTTGTAATTATTTATTTTCAACCGATGTTAGCCACACCCAACTGATTACAGCATCACATACTGGTTCGAACCAAGATACAACTACTAGGCCAAAATAAATTTATTGTTTGTTTGGAATTGCCTCCCGCCTCATTTAAATGACCCCTCCTGGAACAATTTTATTGACCAAGAATAAGATTGTTTTTATTCAATCAATTCTTGGCCTGTTATCAAATGTGCCAAAATCACTTAAGTGTTGGATCTAAGCAAAACTGAGTTCACGGTTGATGGGAGATACCATTTTCAAAAAGGCAGAAAATAATGTGTTCACTGCTTATTTTGATTTTTATCATCAATTTTTAATTTAACTTTAATTTTGGGAAAAATAATAATTTCTCTCCCTCCCTCCTGGGTCTGAAACCTCCCAGGCGGCAATTCCAAACTAACAATTTTTTTAAGGATGGCCCTACCGAGAGCTAAGGGCTCAGTACACTCTGTAGTAACAAAAAGGGGTTAAAGATTTTTTTAAAATTATAATTTTTTAATGTTATTTAAAAATTTACAAATAAGCACTTTTTACGAACCCCATCGTTCAAGATAGAGTTAGTGTACCTTAACCTCAATTGTATTTCTAAATATGTAAGGAGTACTTGAGGAAACGTCGATCATTCTAGAATTTCGAACATTACTTAGCTCAGCTATTCTCCTTTACTTAAAAGCAAAGTCTCCTACAGGTACCAACACGTATATTCAATAAGACACATTCAACGACTTGATCATTACAAGCTTTCTGAAAACAGCTGAAAAAAATCTGAAAGCATTTGTACATTTTTAGATGTATCATCCATGCAAGTTTGGCCGGGGGGGGGGGGGGGGGGGGCTACAGCTACTTGCCAAATATCTATTGCAAAGGTCCCCCTTGCAGAAATTTGCCATACATAGCAAAACTTACATCGGATTATTTGCAATTTAGGAATCTTTCCCCTACGGAAGAAATGCTATATTGCAAATCCCTTTACCTAGGAACGATTGCTTCATCCATGATCCATTCCCGTTTAGTCCAGATAGTATTATAGTTTTAGCGTAATTGCAAGTCTGTAACCTTGCATCAAGAATTTGTTTGATGCAGCACCCAAAGCAAATCTGGTATTATACATATACATCCCTATATGCATTATCAAAGTAACTAGAGCTCCGCGGTAAGGTTAAATAGAACTGCTCCAAACGGAAAACAATGGGACGCAGATATCGATTGAGCTAATGATGACAAGAGTGCGCTGTCGAAAATTTGACCAGGGTAGATAGTGGGACATTAAACCTCTTAAACAAATTACATGTTTTTCGAAAACTTTAAAGATCAATCCAAGAAATGCCTCGTATATATACATACCCATTGTATCTGCACTGTGATCATTCACAATAATTAAGTTAATTATTAAGATAATTAAGTAAGAAGGATTAATTTGTCCAGTTTACGACGCATGGACGATGTGCAAATCGGTCCTGATTATGGAAGGGTAGATATGACCTTACATAGCTTCCAATGGATCAGTTCTTTATATTCCTTATGTCTTTCGACAAGTTATACATGTTAAAAGCAAAATTAATTATATCTATATAACATAAATTTAGATTGAGGGAGAATAAACTTACGATATTTTATTACACACTGTAGATCCTTAATTCATTATATACAATAACATGTTTTGGTATATAGGGGGAAATGTCATACATGAATATTGCTGTCTTTAATTTGATAAAAATGCCTAAAATTTTGTTGCAAAATTTTTAATACCGGGTGTCATACACAAAACAAAAACCTTCTCTCCTACGGAAAGAAGGTCAGCAAACATCACGGGATTCTTATTGATTCGTGCAATTAAATCAGTACCAAAATACATCGTTTCGGTGGAACATTTTTTCTGCTTTGGGGGATACTTTCTGAGATGGCAGATGTACAAATTAAGTTCCAAATTCTACTGAAATAAAACGATAAAACGACATGCCTCGCTGACACTCTTCCATCGGACTGAATATATATGAGGGTTTATGATGTCTTTTACAACGGATTACGTGTTGAAAAAGTGGTTAGAGCGTCTGGTCTAGAGTCGCGAAGTAAGGAGTTGATCCGGTCCTTTGGATGAGACCGTAGAAACCGAGGCCCCATGTCGCAGTAGGTGTTGGCACGAAAAAGATCCCTCACTGCTCAATGGCCGTAAGTGCCGAGTATAGGACAAAATTTGCAGCTCTCCAACGGCAAGTGGTGGCGTCTCCATATGAGTGAAAAATTCTCGAGAGGGACGTTAAACAACATACAAACAAACAAAAACGTGTTGAAAAAAAATAAGAGAAACTCATGTCATGTTTTACATCATGACCCGTTATTAAACCATAACTTTTTGAGACAAAATGACAAAAAAAATTGTCTGAACTCCATAACGAGGTGGATATGAAAACATTTCATAAAAGCAAATTGCAGTAAAGAGAACTTTTTCTTGTGCAAAAAAAATCTCTGCTGTATAAACAATATACAGAATTTCACTGATAGATTTTGATTTATTGTGCTTGAGTTTCCATAGGTATTACATGTATTTTCTTCTTTACTGTCTGAGCTGAAGGCTCAAGTGAGCTTTTCTGATCGAAAGGTGTCGGCGTCCGTCTGTCGTCTTTTCACATTTTCGGCTTCTTCTCAAGAATCTAGGGCCGATTTCAACTGAACTTGTCACAAAACATATGCATCTTTGTGTGAAGGGAATTTAAGTTTCTTCAAATGAAGAGCCATGCCCTCTTTTAATGTAAGAAACGGATAGTATGAATTTGAAAATTTAACGGCATCTTTAAAACATCTTCTTGTCAATAACCACTAGGTCAAAAAGATGAAACTCAGGTGAAAGCTTCATTATATACATAATATAGATTCAACTGTGTTCAAACATGACACACGGGGCTATAGGAGGAAACACAATTGGTGTTTTGAAGTTTTACATAGGAATACATGTATATAAAAAAAAACTTTAAAGAATCTTCTTCTCAGGAACAGCAAAGTCATGATCAGCCTTACTTATATATAGGCAACATCCACATGTAGTATAGATTCAAGTTAGTTCAAATCACGACCCCCAGGACTAGGGTGGGGCCACATTAGGCGATTAATTTTTATATAGGAATATAAAGGAAAAACCCTTTAAAATCTTCTCAAGAACAGCAAAGCCATGATTAGTTTTACCCATTTTGCAGCATCCACAAGTAGTGTGGATTCATGTTTTCTTCCATTCAAAACAATCATAGTCACATTTTCAACAACAAAACTATGACTAGAAATTACTGACCGGAAAGAACATTACCTATTAGAAAGTAACTAAAGCATGCATTAGCCAACAATTAAGCAGTTATAAAAACAAGTTAAAGGTTCATTTTCTCAAACGGGTTGGACGTTCTACGAGATCTGGTGATGAGCGAACCTTTTTGATCGACGCGCACGTTTGTCATTCACAGTATTTGTCATCTTATATTATAAACGATAGTAAATTTCAATAAGATTTTATTCAAAATTATATTAGGTATATACATTGTACATGTAGGATAGCAATCAGGTTGACAAGATCGTTGACATATAGGGTTGATCAATAAAGCAATCCGTTAAATGTAAATAAAAATATTCCATAAATAGTGTTCTATTAAAGGTTTTAAAACGCGGTCGACTTGTTGAATGTAAAAATGTAAATATTATTCGTTATTTTAGAAACAAGTATAATGGTATAGAACCTTTTAATGTAATACATTCAAATTTAAGAGTTGTGTTGCTGAGGACCTACAGATGTGTGCAGACTTGTAGTACGAGGAGTGGCCAGTCCTTACATTGTAGCACCTTTTTTTCCAGAAAGTCTTTTGCTGTTGATTTAATATGAAAAATTTCATTGAAAGACCGTTTGCCAACCCCTTTTTATTGATGTATGGAAGTGATGCCCACTCTATCGCATTTTTTAAAAATACCGAAAAGTTAGCGGAAGATCCTAATCCCCTCCCATAATATATTTTGCATTGGTTTCTTTTTACATATAGGTCGTTTCAAAGATACTTCGTCGAGGTCATACTATGAAAACAAAAAATAATAATAATAATAATAAAAATAACAAAATTTTAAAATAAATACGTTTCCATTTGTAAACAAGTAAGATCCAGTAAGAATCCATTAAAAATTAACCCATAAAATCAACGTAAAAAAAAGATAATGCTTCATAAGGGCATGTCGTCAAATACATTCTTGAAAAATTAGCACTTTCAGCTGAGTAAATTTTCAGTATTTACTTGTAAGGAATATCAATTATAAAGAACTAGATTCGGTTATATCCGAAGGCATCTTTTAATTTTTGTTCTATTACTGGAGCATGTAAAAGTCCAGAAAATCTTCATCTAAAATTTCTTCATTATATCCTTAGATCAATTCCAAAGGTTATAATTTCCAAATAAATTGTAAAGTCCATCTGTTCAAATAACCTGTTACAAAAAGGCGAGTGAACACAAAAAGTGCACATTAAAGCGAATCTTGAACGGACTTAAAAATGTCAATACGTTCATGCGTAGTCGGAATCCAAGAGTGGATAAGTATATATTCTAAATTTCGTATTTATATACTGTATCTGTCTTATGCTGTTGTAGGTATTGGTCAAACTCTTCGTTCAGGGCAACAGTAAAATGATTTTTCCAGTCTCCCACTTTCCCTGAAAAGGAAATAAAACTGTCATCAACACCAACATTCTTTATAATAAACCGTTCACGGTAACTCAGTCGGTAGAGCGCTCGCTCCGTGATCGTTAGGTCGTGAGTTCGAATCTCGGCCGCGACTGACCTAGGTCGATAACAAATGGGTAGCAACTGTTCCTTCGCCATGCGCTCGGCACTTTGAAGTGAAAGTTGCGGGTCCTTCGGATGAGAACTTAAAAACCGAGGCCCCGTGTCACAGTAGGCGTTGGCACGATAAAGATCGATCTCTCACTGCTCAATGGCCCTGAGTGCCGAGTAAAGATAAAAAAATTGAAGCCCTTCACCGGTATATGGTGACGTCTCTATATGAGTGAAAAATTCTCGAATGGGACTTAAAACAACATACAATAAATCAATCTTTATAATAAAGAAAGGATATAGGGAAATTATTTACACGAGAAGTGCACCTGAAATATATTACTTTTCATTTGTAGAAGTATTTTGACAAAATTAATTTTAGGTCTCTATACCCTCCTTTCCAAAGTATAAAGGATATATATATGGGATCTCCCATGATTTGTGGTTGGATATGAGTTTTATCCAACGAGGTGTGTGGGTTTTTTTATGCCCAAGCCTTGGCGAGGGAATAAAAACACAAACGCATTGGATAAAAATCATACCCTAGCACAAATCATGGGATATTCTTTTTATCACATGTTTTATACATCATTATCAATGTTTACACTGTTTTATAGATTATTTCACATTATTTACCTTCAGCACTTTCACGCAAAACCCATTGTGTCGTCACAGCAGTAGGATATTAAAAAATATAAAATTAATGATATCCAAGGGATAAAGGGGTAAACATGTGATAAAAAAATATTTTAATTTAAAAAATCATATACTGTGCACCTTTTCTATAAAATGACATGCTGCGGTCTCCTCCTTTGACAGTATCGGACGCAGTCTTTAAGTTTTGAAAAGAACATTTTTCAGCGATCTGATTGGCAAGTTGATCGTCACATGGTTTATCCATGAAGGCAGCCAAACGCTTTATTTCACTGACTGGATCCTACAATGCATGAAAAACATACATTTCTTATTCAAATTACCGACAGACACACTGGTCATGCTGAACACTGATATTCAATACAATTTAACCTCTGGTTATCTTTCCCCTATTAATTAGACAAATCTGTTATCACACAGTTCCTAATCCTATTTATTTATTAAATGAAAAACACACCATATTTATTTATAAGTGATATTTGAAGGACTTATCATACACCTTCTAGGTTCTAAAACGTTAAAATACATACACATATACACTTAAACTATAGCAAACTTTTAAAATCATGAGCAATTTACATTTTTTTTATTTAGTTCCCCCCTTTTCAAGGATACATTGTAAGAGCTTACTAATTTTACATTAAAGCTATAAATAGAAATATAAAGAATATTTTTTAAAAACTTTTGCCCGAATTGTTAAATCATATACTCGATTTTGTGATTTCCAGTTTAGTAATAATTTTTATATCAGATAATCATTCAACACATCATAATTCATTAAAATACGAGTTTAAAGACAGTGCAAGGTACCTGTTGTAAATCTTCATACATGATATAATGTACAGGGTGGTCTGGATGTTCTTTGAAGTACTTTTCCCATTCTAATGTATAGAGAGGCCAGGCAGAGTGATACACTTCTGTAACACATAAAACGCATCGTTAGTTATCTTCATATGTTGTAGATAGAGTAGAAAAACTTAATTTTTTCAGAAAAGTTATACCGGTATACCGTTTAAGGGGCATTTTAGCAATATGCAACGAATTGTCCGTAGTCCTCATTAGATATTTAAGCGAGAAATGTCTTCGCGATTTTTTAATGCCAGAAACATAGATATTATCCCCAGTGCAGCATAAACTGTTTGCGATAGTTAATATCAGCGATTTCAATATAATGGCAAAATTGAATCCTCGCTATAGACTCTGCTGAAATATGGTATTTGAATGCTTTATATAAGATTATCTTTAATTTCAAATCCTTTCAGAAATCCTATTTCATGGTATGAAAATTCAAATCAACAATCTTTAAATGAAGATATCTTGACATCAGCTATTTATTATTTTACAGAGCATTTTTACCTGGCCCATGTTTTTCCATAAAAAAGTCCATAAATTGAATGAAAGTACCGCAAAATTTTATCGTTTGCATACAGTGATAATAAAAGGATACTGCTACGTCTTTGGGATTGCGTTGTACAAAAACTGTCTTACAATGTTTATCAAAAAATTGTTGAGGCATATTATTTGGCCGCAAGTGAGTATTAAACACGCGAGGTGACGTCACTGACTCCAGCACTTCCGGTGTGTTGAATTCCAGCATGTGGGTCTCCTTTTTAAGTGGATGATATTCTGCAGTTTGTTGAAGAATCATACTCATGATTTCCCACGTCCAATGTGTTCCTTGAAAGGATAACCAGAACTATAGCTAAATAAAGAATTTCAAAGCTGTTCATTGTAACTCGTCTGTGCTTATAACACTGGTTCGGGAATAATTTTAATAATAATAATAATAAATCAAATTTATATTCAGCCTTATATTAAATTTAAATATTAAATAAACTCTTAAGAGCTTACAACAATATAGCAATGTACATAATAAAAGCAGGACTAAAATAATCTTATATACAGCAATAAAATGAGCCAGAAAATTATTTTTAAGACAAACCATATGTATATACACACTTTTCTATAAAGTTTTGAGTTCCCTTTTAAAAACTTCAAGTTTGACAATTTGTCGAAGTTTCACCGGAATTTCTCCATTTTTCCCTCACCCATCTCATTTTCTTCCCCTTATCCTGATCTAAGCTACATGTAGACTTTTTTTTGAAAATTTACTTAAAATGCCATGCATTCTACACCTCTCCGATCATAAAACTTAAACTATAAAATTAAGTGATCTATACTTCACATACTGAGATGTAGAATTGCAATTACACAGTACTTGTTTTAAGCTCTCGGGTTTGTATGAAAATTACGATGTATTTAATCTTACTCAATTGTTACAATGAGTAAATTTAACCAACCTGCTTTTGGATAAGCACACAGAAAGAAGTCGTCTGATCTGATGTTCATCTCTTTTAACCTTGGGAAATTGGTCTTTGGATTAGGGAACTTTCCCATGATGACCCCTTTAGCACTGATGTACTGTCCTCCATGTTCCAAAAACTCCATAACATTTCCATGGCTGTCGCTGACTTTAATGATATCTTCTTCCGAGACTTCTGTATCATATCTTCTTTCTGGCATATTACATGTATATATTTATCAATAAAAATAATCTGCATTATGACCACTAGACTAAGTGTCACATATAAAATCAGTCATAATGCTGATTCTTATTCATAAATAGAAAATGTGTCAGAAAGACAACACACTAAAATATTCAGGTGCGAAGTTTCATATTGTCTTACTGATTCTTTAAAATATGCATTATCGAAATCAATTAATAAGTGTTTTTAAGGAAACAACTTCAGTCCAATGTTTATATAGTAAGAGAAAACCATAATCAAAACATTAATTATTACTTATCGAAAATAGTGAAGAAAGTCAATAAACTGAAAATGAAATTTGTTATACATGTAGCATCAAAATTATTATTTGTATATCCTTTCCATAAATATATTGCAAAAGATTGTAATTTTTGTTCGTTTATAACACTTTGTATTTAGTTAATGGTGTCATAAGAATAATTGCGAATTAAATATATAAATACAAATCCGACAGAAGCTAAGGTGGGCAAAAACAATGTCCTTCAAAAAAAAAATCTTTTGAAATGAAACGCAATATTTTATCCTTTAGGGGTTGGTGTGGGTTGGTAGGTAATTATATTTTATTTAAAAAAGCATATGGTTAAAACATTCTACAATTTGTAATTTAAAAATCTATCATAAATTGAGGAGAGCATCCCCCCATACAATATTAAAGCCTGTATATCACCAAACATTACAGAATTTCTATATAAATTGCAAAAATCAAAGACCATTGTTTTTGCATGCAAGTTTGTAATCTATATACTTATTTATTTTCAACCAGTGTTAGTCACACCCAACTATATGACAGCATCACATACTGGTTCGAACCAAGATACAACTATGTACTACCGAAAGCTTAGCGCTCAGTAGTACCAGACAGGGGTTATAAAGTTTTTAAAAATCAGGTAATTCAATGTTATTTACAAATTTACAAAATAATCACTTTTTACAAACTCCATCGTTCATGATAGAGTTAGTGTACCTTTGAGTTCAATTGCTTTTCTAAATATGTCTGAAGGAGTACTTGAGGTAACGTCAATCATTCTAGAATTTCAAACATTACACAGCTCAGCTGTTGTCCTTAATTTTAAAGCACATTCTCATACAATTATTAAAACATTTAAGAAATAAACAACGTTATTCAGTGAACATGGCGTTATGAATAGCAATTGCTCTACTGGCATATTGAATGATGCGCGCTACTGCGCCAGTGTAGGAAAACAACTGCACTTATACATGTAGCAGGAGCAGTTGCGTTCATGGCGCTATGAACGCAACTGGTGAGTGCAAGGTTCATAGTGGGAAAAAGAGAGTATGCAAATATATATTCAATACGACACATTCAGTGAGTTAATCATTACTGTACGCTCTCTGTAAACAGCTGACAAAAAAAATCTGAAAGCATTTTTAGATGTATCACCCATGCAAGTTTGGAGAGGCTCACCTTGCAGAGATTTGCCATGCATAGCAAAACTTACATCGGATTATTTGCAAGCAGCAGTTTAGGAATCTTTCCCCTACGGAAGAAATGCTATACTGCAATTCTTCTATAGTAAGGAATGATTGCTTCATCCATGATCCGTGCCTGTTTGCCCCAGGTAGTATTATAGTTACTTTAATAGAATAACTGCAACTCTGTAACCTTGCATTTAGAATTTGTTTGATGCAACACCCAAAACAAATCTGGCATTATATGTATGTACATGTATATCACTAAATGCATCATCAAAGAAACTTGTGTAAGGCTAAATAGACCTGCTCCAAAAGGATAACAATGGGACGCCGACATCGATGTCGGAGTTTTATTCCTTAGGCGGGGTTGAGCTAATGATGACACGAGTCCGCTGTCGTAAACTTGACCGGGGTAGAAAATGGGACAACACAGTTATACACCTCTTATACAAATTACATGTTTTTTCGAAAACATTAACGATCAATTCAAGAAATGTCTCGTAAATATACATACCCATTGTATCTGCACTGTGATCATTCACAAAAACTGTAGATAAATCAGTACTAAGCAAGAAGGATTAATTGTCCAGTTTACGACGCATCGACAATGTGCTAAGTGGTCACGGTTATGGAAGGGTAGATATGACCTTAAATAGTTTCCGATCAGTTCTTAATTCCTTAAGTCGCTCGACAAGTTATACAAGTTATATAGAGCAAAATTATTTATATCTATATAACATAAATTAAGATTGAGAGAAAATAGGCGAATGATATTTCATTATACACTGTAGATCATTAATTTATTATATAAATTACACGTTTGCAAAAGGAATGACAAATTACTGAGAGGGAGAGAAGGTTATCCTCTTGTGTACGTCACCCAGTATTAAAAATTGAAACAACGATTTTAAGACATTTTTATCAAATCAAAGACAGCAATATTCATGCATGACATTTTTTCCCGGTATAATGTCTTTGTCCTTTGCACCAAAAAATGGCGGAGTCGAAGCGGAGAAGGGAAAGAAGGTCATTACGGAATTCATATTGATCCACGCAATCAAATCAGTACAAAAATACGTCGTTTTGGTGAAACATTTATTTTTCTGTTTGGAGGACACTTTCGGAGATGCACAAATTACATGCCACAAAATCTACTGAAATAAAATGACATGCCTCGCTGACACTCTTCCATCGAATTGAATACATATGAGGGTTAATTATGTCTTTTACAACAGTACTTGTTGAAAAAAAATAAGAGAAACCCATGTCATGTCTTACAAACTCATGTAATGCCTTACATCATGACCCGTTATTCAACCAAAACGTTTTTGTGACAACATGACAAAAATTTGTCTTAATTCCATGATAAGGTAGATATAAAAAAAAACATTTCATTTGCAAATTCCAGTTTAGGACCCTTTTTTCTTGTGCAAAACTCTCTGCTGTATAAACAATAGAGAATTTCACCATCTGTCGTCTTTTCACATTTTTAACTTCTTCTCAAGAACCTAGGACCGAGTTCAACTAAACTTGTCACAAAGCATCTTTCTGTTAAGGGGATTTAAGTTTGTTCACATGAAGATCACGCCCTCTTTCAAGGAAGAAACCGTAAGTATGAATTTGAAAATTTAACGGCATCTTTTAAAAATCTTGTCAATAACCACTGGGACCAGAAAAAAAAAACTTATTTGAAAGCTTCATTACATCATATAGACTCAAGTTTGTTCAAACATGCATGACACACGGGGCTAGGATGGGGCGACAATAGGAGTTAAAAGTTTTACATAGGAATACGTGTATATAGGGAAAAAAAAGCAAGAACAGCAAAGCCATGATCACTCTTACTTATTTGGCAGCATCCATGCAGGTAGTGTAGATTCAAGTTTGTTTAAATCATGACCCCCATGGTTAGGATGGGCCGGGCCACATTAGGCAATAAATTTTTACATAGCAATATATAGGGGGGAATCCTTAAAAATCAGCAAAGCCAAGATTAGTTTTACTCATTTCGCAGCATCCACAAGTAGTGTAGATTAAAGTTTTCTTCAAATCATGACCCCAGGTGGTATAGAGTGGGGCCATAATGGGCCATCAGAGTTTTACACAGGAATATATATGAACAATCTTTAAAAATCTTTCTGTCAAGAACACAAGGCCACGATGTATATGGAAGCATCCTTAAGGTTAAAAGTTTCTTGCGATTTGTTACAAAAAGAGCAATCAGAATAAACTATCACAGAGACAAAATGTATGATATAAAACTCTTCCCGTCTCCTTCTTATGTGAATTCTGAAGAAAACAGCATAACTACGAACTTGCAAAAATCCCAAGAGTAAGAAGAAACTAACGTACACTGACTGAAATTATCAAAGATTGTGAAAGATAATCAAGTGCATTAAATCCAAAATGTGAAATAGTCATCAATTAAACGGCATACGTATGGTTCAATGCAATACAATACCTGTATTTTAAACATTTTTACACCGATGCCATCGAATATCTCTTATGATATTATGCTTTTGAATGCCATTGCTATGTTTTTGAAAACACTTGCTCTATTTAAGATTTATGAAAATGGTAGAGAAGATTTGTTGTTTTTTTTTTTTTCACCAGAAGCAATTTGATACAATACCGTATAAAGTGTATTAGATAATTCTGGTCGCTGCCAGTTTTTTTTCCGGATCCAATGCCAAAACACATTATAGTATTAACCTAATATGTATATGTATTAACGAAATGTCTAAGTCCCATCTTATAATATAAATGATAGTAAATTTCATTAACATTTTATTCAAAATTATATATAAATAGGTATTTTAATTTATTTAACATTTGTTTCTTCTTCAAAATCCTGCCTGCAAGTACATCTAGAAGTTTGTGAAACTTTTTCCATATGTCCGAATCAATTAAACTGTCAAAACTTTTATTGAGGGTTCACAATAATTATATCGACAAGAAATACATGTAATGCTTGCGTACAAATATTTTAAGATGATGAAAGAAAACGACAGTTGCAAAATGGGCATTCTCTTACACTGTAAATCCCAAAAATAATTCAATTTTTATTTTAAAAAAAATTAAAACTCGGTAATGTATGAGCTTTAGCAGGAGAATTTGATTTTCTACACCCTATACAGTTCACTTTTCATCATTCCAATATTTAGCAATGATAGAATGACCTAATAAATCCACTCTTTAGTGCAGACCTTTAATTAATGTTTACAGCTTTAGATTATGCAATAGGCTCTAAATACCCTATGTTAGATTACAAATAGAGACATGCCTCCGATTTTTCTTTAAAAGCTTTTTAATCTTTAGGTAAATTACTTTAGCATAGTTTTCCCACCTGAAAGGATGGATAGGCGCACCGAACGTAACATTCATTTTTCAAGATTAATATGTATTATTTCTAAAAATACATGAAAATTACTGACCTCGTTTTCCCCTCGGCTTCATTTTCTGTTGCAAAGGAAATTATGCATTTGCAAATGAAATTAGGCTGGGCCCCTTGTTGGCACTCGGCCAATCTCTTCTCTCTGCGCC